CGCTCTAAGCTGGTTTAAGTCCTATTTATCAGATCGATTTCAGTTTGTACATGTTAACAATGAATCCTCCATACATGCAAAAGCCAGTCATGGAGTTCCACAAGGATGTGAAGAAGAACGTACTTTATTGTCACATACACATAGCGAAATTCATCCTCTGCATTTAACCCATCCCTGAAGGGAGCAGTGGGCAGCTACAGTAGGCTACTGCCAGCCACTGAGTGGAGAACCTTCATAGCATGTTTTTGATGGTGGGGGAAACCGGAGAACCCGTAGAAAACCCACACAGACACGGTGCACCACCGTGTGCTCGGACCAATCCTGTTCACTTTATATATGCTTCCTTTAGGCAATATTATTGTCATGTTTGGCTGAGGGAAGGGAGGGGAACTGAGGAGTGTGGACCCAAATGCAGATAACGGCAAGGCGAGAGGAGGATGCTGTTCGAAATAAAGTTTTTCAAGTAAACTAAACAGGCTTACATGGAAGCTCGGGGCAAAAGGTCCAAACAAAGCAGAATCCAGAACAAAGGTAAATCCAACAAAGAGTAAATCCAAGGAACTCAGGGTAATCCAAAAACTGGGAACAAAGCAAACAGAACACTCAACATCCAACGACAAGGACGCCACATAGACAAAACTGAACTGAGGGTTCACCGCCAGGGTTCATTGTATACCTATAACACCATAGCGGGTAAAATCTACCCGCTATAAAAATACAGTGATTTTGTGATTATTTCTGCTACATGTTGCTCCAACACACTTTGGGAAAGATTTAGCACATTGGCTGTGCATTTCCTATAAACACCATCCCCATATTTCAGGAATTGACAGAAAGTTTATTCCATTCTATTCATTGTCTTCACCGTGCAGGATGATCGCTTGCGCTGCGCATCTGTGAAGGGCACGTTCACAGCTCTTTTGATGTCATAGATGTTATAACCTAGTTATATTCTAAACACAGCTTGAATTTAAATGCAGCATACAATTTACAAAAAAAGACTGACTGTTGTTATAATAATAGCCTCAATGTCGGCTAGTTCTTACTTTTCTGCTTGTTTTTCGGACTCCATCGGGCATCCAGAGAATAACATATAGCTACAAAAGTTTGAAAGTCCAAATAAAAGTAGGCTATTTATTCGAAAGAAATGATTATTATCAACTCCAAAATTCATAGTAAATTTTTACCCAGTGGAAAGATGTATAATGATCACTTTTACTAAAAATTACACAGCACTGGAAAAGTTATAGCCGGTCAAAAAGCACTGGAGGGAGCCGCACGCTGTCTTGAAGGGACCGCAGAACACACCGTGTTAATTACACAGTAATTATGTGTGTGTGTGTTAAAAAATAAAACTATGTTAAAAATAAAATAAATAAATAAACCAGAAAGCGCGTGTGTGTGTATGTGTGTGTGTGTTTGTGTTAAAAACATAAAATATTTTCAAAATTACAATTAAATAAAGCAAGTGTAATGCCTGTAGTGGGAAAGGGGTTGCCAATAGCAACATAGCATGTTTATCTAAACCCACGACATGAACAGCATGAAAATTACTGTATTTTATCAATTTTACCTGCTGGCGCTTAAAGGTATAAATGCCCATTTTTAAAATCTGGCTTTATCTTGACATTTCTTAACAACAGGGGGTACATAACACACTTTTAGGAAAAGCCAGAGACTGGGGGACTTAAATATTATATTGAAACAAAGATACATACAATCAAAAAACAGCTGCGGGTAAATTTGACCTGTTGGCGGTTCTAGTGTTAAATGCACAGGCAAAAGATCAGGGAGGGAGTGCACAGGTGAGACTCATGAGGAACTAATTAGGCACGCAGACAGACAGAGTGAACAGGGCAGAGTGAAACAGGAAGGCGTAGAAACCAGACAGACCATGAAACCAAAACAGAGTCAACCAGAATACAGAATAAACCAAAAACACAAGCAGACAGATCCATACGCAAAAGTACAAAAAACAGGTAGGTTTAAACTGAATATAGAATGAACAAGACTAAAATAAACTAACAAAACAAGAACAAAGCTAGATTAGAAACACTGATGATAACAAAATAAAACAGGAAGCAAAGCATGCGACAATACTAAAGGATGGACAAGACATAAATAACTAAGGACAAGGAACACAAGAAACAGAGGCAAACAGAAAGACACATGAAACAATGGCAAAATCAGAAACACAGGGAAAAATATAACTAAAACATAACCCACAACAACTCTTATAACAGTACCCCCCTCTTAAAGGGATACTATGCAATTCTGCCAAGACTTTATGGCTGCAGCCTGGAGCCTCCTGTCTCATGCCCTCCTGCCTGGTGCCTTCCGCTAGTTTCTATGATGCAAAATAAAAACTCACGTCTGGTTTGTTCTGTCTTCCTCGTACTTTGGTGTTTTTGAACTGAATAGTTACTGTTTTCCACCAGGGCAGTAAAATGTGAAGTTAAGCTGCTGATGTGAGCTTCCCTGCTGTTACCGTTTTATTGGCAACAATATTCATCAGCTGTTTGACGAAGGTAAGGGCACATTTCTGTCCACGTAACAAAGCCATAACAGAGGCTGGAGAAGAACTACATGAAATTACAATCCAACTACATATTTTACACCAAAATCCAAAGCACAGCGCTGGAGAATAAACCAATCCAACTAACCTTACATGATTTTTCAACCAGGGCAGTAAAAGTTTAGCTGGCTGATGCTTCCATGCTTTAAGCTAATGTTACGTTTTATTTACTGATTGTCTGGTAACCAGCAAAGCCAACCCACAGGCTGGAGAATAAGAAGGTGACATGAAATTAATACAGCTACATATTTCACACCACTGACGGGGGAAACATGTGACAGCTCTCTGTGATTATGGCCAGTTTCAAGCTATAGTTATCAAACAACAGCTTTCATTTGTATCTAAAGTTTGACAAACAAGTTAATTACCTGTCCACAACAGACAGCTTCAGCACTGCTTTGAAAACATCTGTTCCACATTATAGCCTTCTATCTGGGAAAATCCACAACATCGGTGATTTCTTCTGTTAGCTGTTTGTATCTGTCCTGACTCCATCTGGCTTCATGGTATAAAGATCCACAGGCTGTCGGCTCTCGTGCTAAATAACACGTGTGTGCTCGTTCATTGTCCAAATGTCACTTCAGTTCTTACTTCTAATAAACTAGAAGACTACTCAGAGACTGCTGATTGTTGTTAATATTATTATTAAGCTTGATAGCTGAACGCTATAATATTTGATTATAGCATTCAGCTATCAAGCTCCTCTCCTGTGGAACCAGGTTCCAGTTTGGGTTCAGGAAGTAGACACCATCTCCACATTTAAGAGTAGGCTTAAGACTTTCCTCTTTGATAAAGCTTATAGTTAGGGCTGGCTCAGGTGAGTCCTGAACCATCCCTTAGTTATGCTGCTATAGGCCTAGACTGCCGGGGGATTTCCCATGATGCACTGAGCTCCTCTCTCCTCTACTTTCTCTCCCTCTGTATGCAACCTCATCCCATTATTGCATGTTACTAACACAACTTCTCCCCTTTCTGGTAGTCTTGTCCTTTCTCGTCCCTCTCCTCTCTCCTCCTATCACTTCCTGCAGGTGTTTCAGGCTCTGGAGCTGTGGAGTCTGGATCTGTGGCTGCGGGTCACCTGCTGCCCCCGTGTTCCTGCTCGACACCCTCTGCTACAACGACTATTGTTGCTAGTCTTATTGTTATTATTGTTATTATAATCATTAACATTACGACTGTTACCATTAACACTATTATAAATATCTGTACCATTTTTCATTTAGTCTATAGCAACATCACCTTCACTGTCTGTACCTCTGTGTGTATATTGCTCTCTCTCTCTCTCTCTCTCCCTCCCTCTCTCTCCTTCACCCCAACCGGTCGAGGCAGATGGCCGCCCACCCTGAGCCATGGTTCTGCTCGAGGTTTCTGCCTCTTAAAAGGAAGTTTTTCCTTGCCTCTGTCACCTAGTGCTTGCTCTTGGTGGGAACTGTTGGGCTTCTGTAAATAACATCACAGAGTACGGTCTAGACCTGCTCTTTTATGAAAAGCGCTGTGAGATAACTGTTGTTGTGATTTGGCGCTATATAAATACAATTGAATTGAATTCTACAGATGCATTTAATGTAGTGATGGGCGTCTACACTACACTGAATAATATAAGCAGAAGAAGAACGCCGTGATGACGAAACGCGCTCCGTAGAGCTGTCCGTTGTCGGCTATGGTAGAAATATATAAATAACAGATATAAATGGCTCATTCTAAGGTAATAAAAACATAATGGCTCATTATGGAAGGTCTTTATACACCACTGAAAACATAGTTATGGATATTATATTGCATTCCTGTCAATAGATCCTCAGAAATATTACACACTGAACCTTTAAGTGTCTTGCTCAGGGACACATTGGTGTCTCACAGTGGATTTGAATCCGGGTCGCTCAAACCAAATGCATGTGACTTATCCACTTAGCCATCACCACCCCCCCATCAACAAGTGTTCAGGCACTGAGGGGTTTTGTTCAGGTCTCCTGATGGTTTGTGTCATTGTGGCTCTCTGGCACAGTAATACACAGCAGTGTCTTCAGGCTGCACATTCTGTCTGTTTAGAGTCACTGTGTTTCTGGAAGAGTCTGAGCTGATACTGAACTTGTTCTTTAGTGAATCTATGTAGCTTGAAGTGCATCCAACACGTGAGCTTCCAATCCACTCCAGTCGTTTCCCTGCAGGCTGTCTGATCCAAGCTGTGTGATGGTTGCTAAGAGAATAAGAGACCTGACAGGTGATGGTCAGACGTTGACCTGGCTGCACAGTCACAGAAGCTGGCTGTGTCAACTGTTCACACTTCACACCTTTTAAAAAGAAAGTAAATATGTTTTTTAACTGTAACCGAGGCAAATAGTGAGGGGTTCAAATCCCCAAATATTTAATTACCAGTTGCCATGGGTTTCCCCACAATTAATAAAATTCAGAGACATGGGTTTCGACTGGAAGGAAAATTTATTTAAACAATTAAAAAAATCAGGCTTTGGGCAATTTTATTTGCTGCACAAGCGCAAACAATAAAAACAGATAAGATGTAGATGCCAATACTGCCAGAAATGTTAAGGAATAAAAGCACACGGTTAAAAACACCTCAGCCTCTACAGGAGCCAGACCTGCAGGGGGGTTACCTGTGGGCCACCCAGGTGCCTTGACACCACCACTCACACTGGTGCGCAGCCACCTAAACACAGCAAGATACACACAAATGCCACACAATAAAACTAAGTTAAGCATGCACACACAGCTGTCATACACACCACCACATGCAGTGAAGGGGAAAGGGGTTCCCACAATCCACCACCCTGTCCGTCTGGCAGAACACTAAAAAGGGGAAGAAATGGCTAACAAGCTGAGGGAAATCACACAGCCAAAAAAGGGAAGACAGCCACACCCTTAGCAGACCTTAGCAGTTGGCAAATACATTCACAGGGGCCCATCCACCTGTAACAAATCTAATAAAATAAGAATTGACATAAAAATTCAAGCACGAATAGCATCAGTGGCTATACAACCCTAAAATTACAAAAACATACCTGCTAAATACCTGACAGATGATCTTTACCTCAAACAATGCAGTAAATAGTCAACCCAGCTCTGACTCCACCTCGTTTACGGATCAGATGTTTAGGCCCACTGCAAAGTAAATCATGTTATCAAAAGGCACACAAACTAGTAAACTTGCATAGCTCTACTAGACAATATCTTTTTACCTCAGGGTTATCAACAACCACCACTGCCTTCTCTGTGGTGAACTTTAGCACAACAGGCTATTCAGCTGACGAGGTCTGGACGACAGGTGGTTTAAAATACCTGTGATTAAAACAACTTAAAACATGTTCACAAAAGTTAAAAACATTGTCAGCCTTGACTCATAACTTCTGCAAGACATACCTGCTCTCTAGCCACACTGGAACACAATGCCTACAGAGAGATCCTGAGTGTTCTGTATCAGAGATGCTCACAAGTCTTTGAGCTCGAGTCCAAGTCAAGTCTCAAGTCTCTCGTGGTTATTACGAATGCTGTATCACCTGCTGCGTTCAATCCAGGTTGCTAATAAAACTGCATGGCTATATGGAATTCTGTAACTGTAACCTGTAACCATTTACAGAACACAACCATGTAATGTGCAATGCAATTATTGACAGCTTCTTAAATACTGCAAGTCAACACACTCCCTAGACTCTTAAACCCAGTGTAATGTTGACTAAATAAAACTGTGACGTTGCATAAACAATAAACCGGTAACCTGTTTTTAACTTTACAGAGCACAACCATGTAGCCTAATGTACAATGTGTCAACAATTAATGACTTATTATAAGCTTATAAACTACTGTAAGTCAACAAACCCTGTTGACTCTCAAACCCAGTGTAAGTTATAACTAAATAAAACTGTAAAGTTACAAGGTCAACAATAAACCTGTAACCTCTTTCTAGCCAACGGCAATAATTAAGGTGGTGGCAGCCAGCAGGACGTAAATAATTACGTTTATCGACCACCGCAAGTTTGGCAAGTACACAAACGCTCATTCATCTTTTCATAAAGAATGACAGTCGGAGTAAACCTCCCGTAGGTCGTAGCTTAAGCAAGAAGCAAGCTAACGTTAGATGGCCAATGCTGAGTGTACGATGAATGGCGGAGTAGCTGCCGGTGTTTGTTGTCCTCTCTCACGTGCGGCCGCGGGCAGCAGATGATACGTGTTACGTAGGCAGGTTATAGGTAATGGAGGGAGGGAATAACGGAGAGCTCATCAGACGTTTCCTAAAAATAAACATTGTTCACGAGTCCCATCCCTGGAGTCCGAGTCGAGTCTGAAGCCTTTTTAGGACGAGTCTCAAGTCCAGTCTGAAGTCACTGTGTGTGCGACTTAAGTCGCCATCTATGTTCTCTATAAATCCACTCTTAAAGAGGCACAGGTGTGTGCCTGCTTCTACAGAGACAAGGGGGTGGAGCTTCACTGAGAGGCTGCAACCGACCGTGGCCTTATTAGACCAAAAGCCTGCCTATCACATAACAAATGATTATAGTTATACTGCAAAAGAAGAACTGCTGACTTTGACAAATCCAGAGAGACTCACATCCAGCTGCCAACAGCAGCAGCAGAGCTACAGAAAACATGGTTTATGTTGAAAGTGACGTGCTGTGAACTCCACTGACAGCCTGATGGGAAGTTTTTATAGCTGAGTAACAAGGAAGGTCACTGAGTTTGCATAGAATCAAACAAATGAAGCATCAATGTTGGTCTAACTGGAGCCAATAGAAGAGTCTGTTGACTGTTATTATATCTGCAGAGTGAAAACATGCCTGGAAATAGCCTCTGCTTATGATGTTTTAGTTTTATCATACACTCTATTGTAACATTTGGAAAATGTTCCTGCATTTACAGAAATTAAACAACTATTTGCTTTTACTTGAACTATTAATGCTTTAATGTATTGTATTAATAACTATTTTATATTAAACCATTATGTACATTTTTAAGTAATTGCAATAATGATAAGATCATTTTTACTATTTTAACATAAATATTGACATGAGTCATGGATAATGGAAAACATTCATTAATATTAGCATTACAATAACATGAAAAAACTATCAACACTTAATTTTGCTGCAGGTTTGCATGAAATACATTTAACAGTTTCAGTGTTTACAGACTCTAGTGGAGCAGCTACTTCAGGCTTCCTGCTGTTTATCTTGAGATCTACTTCATGTCTGCTGAGATGAACTGACACTGACAGATGGAGCTGCGGTCACTGATGATGGTAAACACCTTATAGTCAAACTTTAATATTCACACTGAAGTCAAGTTAACATGACTTTTGTTTAGAGTAGAAAAGTATCAACTATCACAGTATCCAGTGTACATGAGCAGCAGGAGTGTTAAGTTTTAGTTCAGTCCAGGGTTCAAGTGTCAGTCAGTTAAGATCAATGAGAACAGCAGATCTGAGTGTCTCCTTTTAGAAACAGAGGAGAGAGAAACTTGACACTTACTGCCCTCTAGTGATTTTATAAAAGAAACTGCAACATTATTTTTCACTTAAATTCTACATAAGTTACACTATTGTGTCTTAATTTGTTGAAATGTGTAGTATTTGTACTGGTTTATTTTTTGTCCTGCTCTTGTTTCATAAAGAAGTTTTATATGTTTAATGTTTAGTTGTTGTTTTTTTGGTCTTTTAATTAGCAAATAACTTTATTGTGTTTTTTATGTTTAATATTCAGTAATAATATTTATCAAGAGCAATTTTCAGGAAATTATACAATGTATTATTTAAATATGTATTTACGTAATGTAAAATATCAGTATAATAATAATGATAGTATATAAAGCAACGTATACAACAACAACAATAAAACAAAAAATAGAGTGTATAAATACTATGAAAAAATTAATTCTTGGGCTCCATCAGCACAAAAGATAAGTACTGTAGGTTTTTGTACAGCTGCTCAACCAACTTCAGTCACTGTGGCTCTCGAGCACAATAATAAACAGCAGAATCTTCAGTCTTCAAACTGTTCATCTGCAGATACACCTGCTGTCTGCTGTTGTCTCTGGAGATGGTAAACCGGCCTTGAACTGACTGCGAGTAGGATTTGCTGCTACCACTACCACTTTCAATCCAGGCAATCCACTCCAGTCCTTTTCCAGGAGCCTGTCTGACCCAATGCATATCATAGCTGCTGAATGTGAATCCAGAGCCTGTACATGTCAATCTGTGGGATTCTCCAGGCCTTTTAACCACTGGTTCAGATTCTGTCAGAGTCTGACCATCAACACCTGTCAAACCAAAAAAGATATGCATGTCATGTGTAAAATAAGTGGCACAAATGACAATATTTCAGATCAAGATCAATGAAGATCTTCACCTGCCCAGCAGACAGTTAAAAGCAGCAGTCCTGTCCTATAGTCCATCATGTTAAACTGTGTGTCCACTGTTCTCTGTCATCCTGTCTGCAGTCAGATAAGTAGAGGTGGAAGACATCTGAGTTTTGCATTGACTCCTCCTCACAGAGCAAATAGAACTAGCTTGCACTTGGCTTTTAGTTCATTGTTTGGAGAAACTAGAGAATCAGTGTTCATGAGTCATTCCTCAAAGTCAGTTTGTTTGCATGCTTTCATTTACATAAAATGTCTGAATTACAAATTGTGTTGTATGTAAAATGCAACGACATTAAAGACATTCAAGTAAATTAAATTAAAAATATCAGAGTACCATATGTCCCCACATTTATTTTAACCTTCAAAATGTTAATCTTAGTTCAGATGTGACACATTTACAAACAAGGTTTTATCAAACAAGTTTGAATATAGCTAACGTTGGCATTATGGTTTCTCATAACTACCAGCAAAGTCTGAACCTGTGTCCATCCTCTTAAAACATGGCCTCGTTTGTAATCAGTGAGTAATGTAGCTCTTGTTCTAACCAGATGTGATATGATATGATTTTTACAACCTGTTTAAATTGATAGATTGAATGTTCTGTTGTGTTTAATTTGTAGTCTAGTTGGAGGTGTTTGTCTTTGTTACACAGTGTTCAAATTACACCGTGGCTGTCTTGGGAGCCCTATTTTTGGGGGTGGGGGCACCTGGCTACTATCAAATAGGCTGAGTGCAATGGCGGCTAAACAGAGGTGTGGACCCGAAATGGCTGGATATGTTTGCAGGTTTGTCACAGTCACTTACAGGATGTCCAAATGAAAGGCAAGGCAATCCAAACACAAAGGAACAATCCAGAAATCCAGATAGCCGAAAGTATCAAGTGTTACTTTCGTCCCACTACAGTGACCACAAGTGTTTCACTTTGACTTCCTCTGTGTTTCAGCATGTATTGAAACATGTTTATGTTATATTATACCAACAGATTATGCCAAGAGTGAGGGTCAGAAAGACAGACAGAGGTCTGATTCAGCCAGATGTTTTCATGCACATTTTGGAATTAGGTATAGGTATATAGGTATTAGGCTGGATAGAAACACAACTATATTTGCATTATTATGAGAATTTATATTATGTTATGAAGATTCATTTTAATATTGTTCATATTGTTGAAGAAATGTTTTATACATAACAAGGAAATCACAAAACATGTAGTTGTTACTTTCAACTCTCCTGCTTATTACTTTTGACCCAACTGATGGGGTCGAAAGTAACAATCTGTCACTTACGTTTAAAGTGAAATTATACGGAAGTCGTTCCACATTTGTACAAAATACCACCTGATATTGATAGATCACACCTGTGAGTTAGTGACCACAGCAAAAATATTTCATTGTCTACAGCATAATCTTTTAAAATCAGGTTTTTCTGAAAAATGGTACTTTAGCCTCTGCTCTACCCTACTATACATTTAAATTCATACAGAGAATATTGAGCCTGGACAAAATTATTCACTGTTGCAATTGTTTTTAATCGCCCTTTGCTGAGAAACAATAAAAATGCCAGTGCACACTGGACAGGCAAAAAATGTGCCCCTACAGGACAAGTGGACATCATTGCTTTTATTAAGCACAAATTAATAGAAATTATTATTTGCAAAAAAACACATGGTAATGTTGCTGTACTATCACCCTTTTATTTCAAGAACCTAAATATAACCTCAAATATAGGAAAATATAAATTTATAC